ATGCAAAGGGGTGAGGGACAATCAATTTGGGGGACATTTTTCTTTGTATTTGCATATTAGTATGGTAGTGATGTACAAATCAACAATCAAATTAAGAAATAGGATTCAGGGCGGAATGAGACTAAGGTATGCTATACTGAATATGGACCTAACCTCTTGGATCAATGGCCTGTTTTAACTATTTTCACTACTGAAGATTAAAAATGATGCAATTATCGACAAAAACAAAGTTAATTAATTACAAGACAGACAAGAGAGCTGTGCCTTCTGGAGGGTTTATTGCATAGTTGCCCAAACAAAGAAGCAAAGTCGGCTATTAAATTCATTAAGATGGCATAAACAAAGGAAAAAAGTACAATGTGTATTCATGAGGTCCATCCATGCGTCTCTCAGTTTCATAGGCAGCATACATTCATATGCAGTACAGTTGGGGAGGGGGCAACACATTGATTACAATGTACATATAAATATGAAGCATATCAACACTATGTTGTATAATTGTAGTGTCTAGATTTAAATTTCAGTAATAAAACTAGAAATCCATGCAGATAAACCACAAAATATTTTTTTAAAACACCACAAGTGTCAGTCAGCACAAGGCTTCAGAATTGAGACAATAGAGTTGACTGAGTGCCCTCTTACCAAAAAATATTTTACATTGGAGGAGGGTTAATTTAAAAAAACATGGGTCAGAGTGTTAAAGCACGCTGTAACCCACATAATCCATTTCAAATGCAGAAATTTGTCTTGACCTGCTAAAAATGAAAGTTAATCTCGCATGCTGTTTCAGTTTTGTAACATGAATAATGAACATGTAATACAATCTTGGGTCCACTAATTACATTATACCTACAAGTATAGGAATATAATAAAGTATTGCTGTATATGAACAAGAAATACAATTCAATGGCTCAATCATTTAACAGCTTAAGTATCTGATCAGGTATTATTAAAAACATAATTTATGGCTTTTAAAATATACATTGCACCAAAGTGGATTTTACTGCCAAAATTAGGATTTCTACTTCAAAAGTAAACATTTGATGACTTGGATATTAGATTAATGAGGCAAACGGATCAATACAAAAAGCAGTAACCCAATCACTAGTAATAAGAATTATTAATTACCCTAAACCTAGTTGCTATGGATTATGGCACATCACTGCCCCTAATGCCATCTTATTAAAGGGAAGCCTTGGGTCAAGAAAACCTTTCACTTTACAACTTCTTTGCTCTATTTAAATTAAATAAGGGTATATATGCACAGAACTTCTACCTAACACACATATTCAGAGGAGCATGAAGATGGTGCTAATAGTATCCATTGAGCACTTCAGAGGCATTAATATATACTGTCCCATACAGCCATGTAAAATATATATCAGTCTCCCGTGGACATATCTAATGGGAAACAAAGCTAATTGCACACTTCAGTAACCAACAGCAATTAGATAAAGTTTAGTTTTCACTGACCTGACTTCATAAACCTGACATCTGATTGGGTGCTATGGGATACTGCACTTTACTATTTTTGAAGATTATCTTCTTGCATTGCCTTTTTGAATAAGACTTCATACACCCATAGCTCCCCTCCATTGCCAACAAACAGCAAAGCCATCCATTTGGTAATTAAACTACTGTATCCAGTAGTGCTAAGGCACTGGTCTTTCTGCCTTATTCTCATGTCCTGTAGTAGCTTTGTTTCTTAATACATTTTATTTGCAGATTTGTTCATACAGAAACTATAGTAAACATATTATTTAATGTTAGCTTTAACTGGGACATACGTATATATAAAACAAAGTACATCAGTCCTGTAGGGTACTCCTGCTTAACGCCCAAGTAATCTCCAGCTAGAAAGTATCATAGCTAGATGTCACCCCCTTTAAAACGGCATCCTTTGTACATCATCAGGTTTGATCCTATGCAGGCACTTTTTAGTGGGGTAGGTGCATGTAAACAAAATTTAACTCACAGTCTCACATAAAAATAGAATATCTTTAAGCTCTATGTAACAGTGGGTTTGAGAATGTTTGTTGAATGATACTTAGAAAAGACAAACAACAAACCCAGATAGTTTTCAAACTCAGTGACTTCCATGTAATGGCACATAGTATGCACTTACCCATGATAACCAACCTTTCATGATCTTTCAGTAGCTTAGCCCGGTCAGACTGGCAAAGGCTAAGTTCTCATTGGTTGCTTTGAATTACAGCATATCACTTCACCTCCTAAGGCATCAGATGCCGTAATTGATTAGGGTAACATAAAAAGAATTGTACATGTCTTGGTGGAGTACTAATCTGGTACTAAATTATCTGATATTACTGCTTTTGTTTACCATCACTTCATTAGCATTACAAAATAAAGGCAACTGATTGTTTATCATTTATGTTGACCTTATATAATACCATCACTAAAGATAAAGTGGTGAAATCGTTGGTTTATAAGCTGCTATTACTTTTCACCCCTGATGACAATAATGCAGTGTGGCATTTCCTTGGTTGCTGTTTGACTTGTGTGTGTTGCTCAGTTGTAGTCAAGACAGAATCACCTTTCTTGCTTTTGGTGTACAGCAGGAAGCAGATCGGACTGCATTTAAGCCTGAGCCAAGCATACTGTAAATGATCTCAGACTTATTTTCAGACATCTCATATTGCACGACTATAAATGCTTCAGCTCCCGCGTAATTCATTGGTATAGACCTCAGTAACTTTCCTATCGATTTCAACCTCCTAAATCTATACAGCTTAAACTACATGCAGCATGCTGTAAAAACTCTACATCCTGGCTTGAATCAAAAAGATAAAGAAAATAAGTAAATGATAAGTTAGAAAATGAAGTAGCAAATATTGAATTCATAAGGCTTATAACAACTATGAACATGTTAACCTAGACGACCAGAATTTTATTTACTAAGCCAACACATTATTTCCTCTGCTAGTTCACGACTTGCACCCCACTTTCCAAAAGTAACTGTTTCAACTATTACATAATCTTAATACTAAATTTAGCCGCTGTTATGTATTAAGAAAACACCTCTGCAATCTACGTAACAACAGTACGTTAATCACCTTCAAATGACCACTAGTGTACATTGAAACACTGCTTTAGTTCTAACACTACATAACTGAGTAAGTAACTAATACATGTTTTCAGTTTTCACTATACTACCTTCTTAATCTATGATACTTCCTGTACAAATTGCATTGATGTAGGAAATAAAGTGTGCATGTGGCCCACCCAATACCTGGTAAAGATCCAAGGAAATAGATCATTGGATTTTTTTTTTACATTTTAGTTTGCTTTCCTATGACCAACTCCCATCTATACATCTTCCAACTGCTGCAGATTGACAAATGATGGTGAGGGAACATACAGCATTACAGGTCGGCAACACCGTGCATTACAAAATGCCTAAAGGTATTCTCATTGCTGGATCACACATACAACATCACGCCTTACTAAGAACCTGGTCAGCAGTACCTCAAGCTGGAATAGAAAAAGCCGAAATATCCATTAGTAAATATCGACTGTAACAAAACTCAGGTTTAAGTGTAAGTGGTCAGGTGAGCAAACTAAAACCTACATAAGGTGGAGGAAGACATCTTTTTTGGCTTAAATATATGCCTTAAAAATATTCGAGTGCAAAGACACTAAGACCAATGCTTTATCGAAGGCATGGCCCTGGTATTGTCACTAGTTCATACCTAATTTCAGGGTTGTGTAGATATATACTTTTTCCTAGCCATCAAAATGGCTGCTTCCTTTGTGTTTAGGGCAATGCCAATATATGTCTGTAATGTCCTCCCTTTATGTTGCTCATAAAATAATGCAACTCATTTTTTTTTATTTTGAATACAGTAAGGAAGATCAATTAACAGAAAACAACGTCTACCATTAAATATCAATGGTAGTTACTATTCCTCTATCTTTGTATCATTCAGCACCCGTGTCACTATAGCCTTCTCCAAGTCCTCCAGATTCTAGCCATTGCACTTCTAGGATTTTTACTATTCTTCATCTGCCCAAAAGAAAACAGGATGTTTGTCCTGCCAAAAAAAAAAAAAAACAGGCAAACTGCAAGACCCTACAGAGGGATAAAAGTCCATATACCCAAAGTAAGTGCAAAGAATATCTCTTGTGGATTAAAAAAGTTACACCAAGAGATTTAGATCAATAATGCCTTTAAAAAAAATCTGTTTACTCAAACGAGTTATAAAATAAAGCTTAGTCTTTTGATATAAATATTATATTGCTTCAAAAATATTTCATGGATTTTAGGACGTCATCTGCATTTATTACTAAGCTGAATAACCGATGCCTTCAATGCTTATTCAGTCCCACAATTCCAATGTAATATAGGATATACTGCAGGCAGATCCTGTACTCCAACAGTGACTAAAGATTATTATATCACCATTGAAATGGCAAGTCAGAAAATATAGTATATATGTTTTTCTTTACTTTACAAAAATCATAGACAAAAAAAAAGTGGGTTTCCGATATACATCAGATACATACTGATTGTTCACCTTGTAAATACCCTCCAATTTCTGTAACCCACTCATGGCAATATTCAGTTTTTTTATTCAAAATACTCCCTTTGATAATGTCAGAGATACCGTTATTTTATGTTATAAAAAAGTCTGAATTTATCAGTTACAGTTAGTTAAAAAAAATAGTGCTTAATAAAATAAACAATAACATTGAATATGCAATAAAAAATACCAGTAAAAAAAAAATCACATCATTTAAAAAGAAAAAAAATAAAAAAAGTGGTAGTTAGTACCAAACTGGTCAATGTTACAATATTGTAGTGTTGAGCGATTATTGAACATTATGCTACTCTCAGTTGGAAGCATCTTTGTATTTTTCCTAAAATCTATACAGTAATATACTGAACAACTATAGCGTATATAGTGTTTGTGCTTATGCAAAATAAAAAGGAAAATGGGGGAGAAAGTAAAAACAAAATGAGAACATTCTAGGTAGCTTGGCTTAAAAAAAAAAAAAACCTACTCGTTACTCGTTTTCCAGCACAATTTTCTAATATCACAATGATTTGAAAAGCTTATATTAAAAAGATTAAATGTGTTAGGCTCTAAAGTTATAAATAAGGTGTATGTATACTGCATACTGCACAGTTGTATTTGATTCTCTGCTTGCAATTAAAAGCTACAATGCTCAAAACTAAAGTCTTTAACAGATCTAACTTCAGAAATGTGACCTGTAGATGGCCCCACCTTGGTATGCCACAGATCTGTACACAATCACAGCTCAGGCAAGGTGATAGAATATGGAAAAATAAAATATGCATTCTGATAAACATATATATATGAATTCAGGCACTGAATGGTTTAGCTCCATGAATGTAGATGAGTCAGTATGGCAACACATAGATATAAAATGTTTCTGAGGCTCATCATATGTTTCCATATAAGAAATACAATAAAGCTAGGTTAATCGAGACACAACACAAGGCAGCCAGGGCATCAGCAATCTACAGCCAGGTGAGGTAGGTGTCATTTTTGTTTAGCACGCACTCCACGTCGTTTAGACTTGGGATCAAATCTTCCGATTCCAGTGTCCCAAGGTCGACATTAGTACCCGGAAGAGCATCAAGGAAATCTGGGAAACGTGTTTGAGGGTTCAGATTCAAGGCTGGCTGACCAAGAATTTCACCTGTAGGAAAAAATAGACAATGAGATATAGAAAGTATCAAGAGACAATATTTCACAGATGATCGTATTGTAGCCTAAAGCTGGTCACATATATCACATGGTCTGACTGTACAGCCCTGTTGGTGCTCTCTGGCAATTTGTAGTGATAGATGATGGAAACCTTTCAGTTGATTTATAGACAGAGATTGTGTCATACAATCCATCATCGGCTTGACAGCAGCTAGAGTTCTGAAACCCACAGATCACTTCAGAAAATTGTATAAAATTGCAAGATTAAAGTTGACCTTATATTTTGCGAATTTCTGCTGACTCTTGATGAACCTGCCAAAATTCACCATGAATGGCAAGTCCAATCATTCTTATTGCTAGTACTCTGTGGGAACTACAACTATGTTCTATGCATAATTAGGCTGCCGTCACTGTAATTCTGACAGTGGCACACCCGCCGCTGTCACAATACAATAGCCCAGTTTAGCATGGATGGAGAAAATCGGTTATATTTATTTCATTCAGCCCACAGTTTGGATAAAAAAATATAACAGTGTATGGCCAGCTTTACTCAGAATATCTGAATATCTTTTCATCAAATGATCAGATCAATATGTGTATAACCAATTTAAGATGTGGACATTTTGTGCCTAGAGGGTTTTAGGATAGAAACTCAGCCTTGGATTGGAAAGCTTCAAGTGGTTGTACAAGTCAAAGCCGCTCTACCTGAATGTAACACATATGCTTTAATTTACTGACAGTTAAATCAAAAATAGACATTTCATATGCGTTAAATGATGTTAATTCATACCTGTATCCATTTCTTCCATATTACTGAGAAAATCTTCAGGTGTCGTAGGTATACTATAACATCCAAGGCCAAGGCCACTGTCTGTGCTTTGTTCTCTAGAGTGATATGGCCCACTATGGAGAGAAACAGACAAATGGAAGTCAACTTCACATGTGGTGCAATATACAACACATACAGCTGAATTCAATAAAATCTCACAAACTATAGCTGACAGTTCAAAGACTCCCGCTTTCATGTTCTGAGATTCAGTTGTAACTGTGCAAGTCATTACTGAATCTCAAGTTCACTCAGTAAATGTTATTGTTGTAGACTGGTAAGGCATACAGAAGGGAATTTATCAAAACTGGAGCAGACAAAATCTGTAGCAGCTGTGCATGGCAACCAATCAGCTTCTATTTTCAGTTTGTTCAGTTAAGATTTGAAAATGAAAGATAGAAGCTGATAGGTTACCATGTACAGCTGCTTTAGATTGTGTCTGCTCCAGTTTTGATAAATTCCCCTCACAGTATATTAAAAGATGCCTATACATACATGCATCAACTTTGAGTGTCCCATTGTCACACGATTGCTGGGCCAAGACAAGCAAAGCTTCAGTACTTACTAGAAATGTTAGGGCTTGCCAGTTTCCTTCCACCCTATACATTCCCATTGATATAAACATTATGATGGGTTACTTTACTGGCCAAGAGGACTGTGCGAGAGGATGAAGGGATGGGCAAGCTTCAGCACAACAGAGAAGTGTTGGAGTTTTGCCCGTTTGTTTTCTTAAAGTGACAGTCTCTTTAACTAGAGGTACCCAAATTAATGTTTAGGCATCAAGTAGCATTTTATTACTTCTACAGTATGTAATCTTTGTGAAGTATTTACATGTTTGTAACTTGCCTGTTCAGGAAAGGGTCTGAGCCATTGTTTGTGATGGTTCGTAAATCTTGTGCCATGGCAGGAGGGTTCACTGTGGTCTGAACAGGGGCGAGGGACTCGGACTCCATGGGAAGTTGTCGACACAGTGCGGCTTCCTAGGTGAAAAAGGTATAACAGAGAAATGAGCTCACGTGCAGGATTTCCCACACCAGAACATTTGCATAAATTTAAAAAGCATTGAAAGTCTTTAGGAACCATATTTAACTTGATGGGTGAGTGGCGTTGTGTAATGACACAGCCAGATATTGTAAAACCTGCACAGCTGCCTACAGCTGACTGAATGGCTGGGAGCCATGTTGTTCTCATCAGTAATCTGTAAATCCGCATCCATTAATTAACCTATATAGAAGTTAAATGCAATAATTATATTGTTTCCACACATCCTAATAACCTGGAGCCAATGGGTGGGTAAGAAACAGCAAAGTACCATTGTGCACAATAAGGACACATGACTCATATGAAGGGAGGAAGGAACTACAGCACGAGATATAGACTGCACGTGTTGCTTTCTCATGTTGCATGTCTCAGCTCACTAGCTGGTGCCCTATATATTGATGTCATTATGCCAGAGCTCCAGGTGCAAATCCACTATTATTCAAACTATATTTATTCCATATGACTTAAATCTGAACTCCACGCAGAAAAAATAAAAAAACACAGATGTGAAAAAGCAGAAAGATCATCACTGGAACAAAGGGGGTTTTGTTATTGAATTATCTTTTAATGCATTGACTACTATGGAGTATTTCCTCAAGTCAGCAATATCAAAGAAATGCAGTTCTAAGAACAACGTCCATGTAGTTCCCACAGAATGCCAGCAATAGGAATGATTGGACTTGGCATTCTAAGGCAGAGGCTATTTCGTTGAGCTGTGAGATAACTCAAAAGTACCTATACTCTCCAAAAAAAATGCATTGCACAAGGCAACATGTGTGCATTATTTATTTTATTTTGGGGGATTATTATCATTTCATGTGGAGAGATTATTTGAATGTATTATTTTAACCTCTTGCCATCCGCCCGTTAAGAAAAAACGGACGGACGGCTGACTCCTATCTGCGGGTTGCCGTCGTCAGACGGCATTTTTTTCCTGCTCGCGCGCGCCCCCTATTTCGGTAATTTTTCCTTAATATAGTAAAAAAATAAAACCCCCAGTGGTGAATAAATACCACCAAAAGAAAGCTCTATCTGTCCCCAAAAAAGGGTATAAAATTCATTTCAGTACAGCGTTGCATGACGGAATAAATGTCAGTTAAAGTACCGCAGCGCTGAATACTGAAAAATGGCCTGGATGGGAAGGGGGTTTAACACCGCGGATGTCAACTGGTTAAGTCAAATCCTTGTATTCTACAAAATCAGAAGCTAGGTTTCTCTGAGTGCTCCGAGTTTTGCTATAAGAGGGAAAGAAGAAAACAATTCCTAAAGTATAAACAGAAAGACAATTGGCTGTCTATGAAGAATGTCTGGAAGCTGTACTTTCTGTCAAAGGAGGTCCTACTAAGTATGGACTTAGGGTACCAAAACAGATGCCACATATTATGTGTTCTATTTTATAGTTAAGTATGGATGCCAGTTGGCCACTGTTTGTTCTGCTCTGGTGACATCAGCTGTCCCATAAAGCCAGTAGAGAGGGATGAGCTTTAAATAAAAATGAAAGCAAATTCCTAGAGCACCTGTATTGACAGACTTGTGGATCTACTGCTGACTGGAACAGATGAAGCAGACACAGATTACTGACATGCTTGATGAATTGCTGCATCCCTCTATACTTTCTATACTAGTCAGTCCTTATAGTTTTCTTCCACGGTTTCCATTTCAAAGCATTCTTCCATAGCTAGCTATGCATGTTGTGATCTGACTTGGTGGGGGTGGTGTCTGATTCACTCATGTAAAACTTTCTTATTATGTGGGGAACACCAAAAATCTTGTTATTAAATATACACATAGACACAAGATGACAGTCATCTGATCTGGCCATTGTCTGACCACAGATGTCCAATTACTATATCAAAGATGGCCACAGATTGATATTTTTTCATACAATTAGGATTTAGCCATATAAATACAATCTACCTTATAGCTAATATCTTATTCTTTAGAATGTAAACAATTGTTAAGTGAGAAATTGAGTAATATCCCATGAAATTGTTTATTCCAAATGTTCATGCTAGTGATGTGACAGATTGAACAGATGTCACAGTGACTTCACTGTTCACTACCCTGTGGAATTGTTCCCGTTGATGACAATCATCTGCCAAGAATGAATTTCCATATTGTTCAAAATTATTTTTTACTGGGTTTTTGGTACTTTTGTGATGCTTTCTGTAGATGAAATGAACCATCTGTAATGCAAGTTCACCAAATCTTCGCTGGACATGGTTAAAAAAAAAAACTGTACCATCCATGGTCAACCCAGGACAGCTTATATGTTGTTTGCCATTAATACTTGGATAACTGGCTACCACCATGGATGGATTGATCACAGATACACCTAGTCTGACATAACATGCCCTTCTATGTGTAGCTTTTGGTTTAGGAATAGAGCTGTATGTTATAAAGTGCTCCTCCACGTTTTGCAAGCATGTGTAGATAAAGCATTCTGTATACATGTTCAAAAGTCTAATGATGTAACATGATAGATAGGTAATAAATACTGTATGACTAGTCATCAAACAGCAGCTAAATAATCTTTCCTATTTTCACACAAGTAGAATATACAATAATCTAAATTATTTTTATAACACTGCTAGAGCGTTCTTCTTTGAATTAACATCGAAATAACACACCTTTAATCCAAATAATTATGGCATTAAGCAGTAAATAAACGGGAAAAAAAACTATTCATACACACGCTAGCTCATGACTCTGCTGCTGCAGCTTTAAGATCGATATAGTCGAGCAGGTTCAGGGAATGTCTTAGATTTACTTTGTGAGTGTCTTAGATAAAAATGCACCAGGGGTCTTTACAAGTTCAAACATGTTTTAGGCTTCTATTTTAGGCTCTGTGGCAGCTGGGATTCATTTTTGTTTCATCATCTAGAAGTGCCTTTAAAATTCTACATGCTGCAAATTAAAGATATCAGGATCATTTATGAACATGAACTTAGATGTAAACTTTATCATGCTACTGGCCTGTAATAGTGGACATTGCGTCACCCACAAAAAAAGATCTGAGTTCTGCTGTTCTAGATTCCACCACTAGTTTGAATCCCACTTCAAACTTTACTTGTATTTTTTATATGTAGCTAAATAATTATTCCACTTTCCCTCAAAAGGACTGACCATTTAGGCTCGGAACATTTCAGCATATTCATTTATTTTGCAGTGCCAAAACTATTCTATTCTTTTGTTAAATTACAAAGCTATACAGACTGGGGAAGTACAAATGAACATAATTACAATAGACACTGCAAAAATATGAACACTAAAATGAGGCAAGAAGACTCAACTGTCATGTCTTACAGCTAAAAACTTGTATCAATGCTAGTAACATGTCAGTACTGCATGGTCAATTTATGTCCACAGTGTGGCTGTTTTTTTTTTTTTTCCCAGTGCTTGCTTTGATCTGATAAATCTTCTAAGCTCACTGGTTGCTGATTATAATTAGGATCTAATTGTGTTGTGTATTTAAAAATTACAGTACTTATATGTACCAGGTATCAGGAGTTAAAAATATTCTCCAACTCAAACATTTAACATTGATAGGAATTGGGTATTTCCTCTCTCTAAGGCTATGTCAGGTAGGTAGCCATTGTGTGGCCAGAACAGCCTACAAAGGCTTAAAGTGATATTAAAGCCATTTTTTTTCATTTCTCCTTTAAGGAGACCCTCCTTTGCTGGAGGCTGTTGTTTTTTTTTTTTTTTTTAAGTTCTTCATTCCTCGTTTTCTAGTGGGTCCACGCCATGCTCTTCCCCCCGCCCCCTGCACGGTGTCACCATCGTTCTAATGGAGGCACCCATGCGCACTCGTCCCTGCAGCGGCTGTGTGCGTCTATAGACACACACGGCCCTGTGGCAGGTCACACCCCTTCCTTCTTTGATTGATGGCAGAAGGAGCCTATGGCTCCTCTGCCTTCGGTATCCTCCCCCTGCAACCTGGAAGTTCAGGGTACGGAGGATCGATTCGGGACCGGCGGCGGGGACGAGTGCAGCTGACAGGTAAGTGTGGAGGAGACTGGGGGGGACTGGGGTAAAAAAAAAAGTTGCTGGGCTGTTTTTACCCTAATGCAGTGAATACATTAAGGTAAAAAACGCCCAGACCTTAATACTACTTTAAAGTGCAACTGAAGCCAACATTTTTTTTAGTTTTGGAAAGAGTGGAGAGGGATTGGAACAACTGTCAGGTTTTTATTGCTATGTCCCCATTAGGGTGACTATTATCACTGAAAGTAAAAGAAACTGACACATTTTGTTTTTTCAGCAGAACGGGAGTAGATAGGAAATTTTCCAATGGGGAAACTACTTCTGGTAACACTACTTTAACCCCCCCCCTTCCCAAGAGACTTCCCTCATTTTAGAGGGTTTTCCTCTGACTTCCTGTTGTGGCTATCAGACAGAAAGTGAACGTAAATCTTCGCAATGGGACACAGACGCCACAAAAAAAGCTGACAGATTATAACCCTCCGTTACTCTACCTTGTTAAGGTCAAAACAATGGCATGTATACTTTAATGGACACTAAGAATTCTGATACCGAGTATTTGGGTGTGTACAAGTGCCAATGATGCCATCCCTATACCGGAACTTCCAGTATTAGGAAGCCGGGTGGCGAGTCATTATACCCTGCCCAGCTTCCTGTTTGGTCGGGAAGTCGGCTGCATGCTCCCTTGTCATATGGTGCAATGACTCCCTCGTCATGTGTAATGACTCCCGTCCTATCTGCCCACGTTAGATGCCGTCAATGGGACGACATGGGGGTTGCATAGTGGGAGCATGGAGGGGGGACAGTTGGAGGTTCTGAGAGAAGGAATTGCCCCTGACAGTCCGAGGAGTTTCACCAGTACAAGGTACGATTGGGACGGATGCTTGGCTTTCTTGCTTTTCGGACTGCCTCCCCCCGGCGCTCCTGTCTCCTGGTTGGGTGGGGAGACTCCCTG